GAAGCATTCGACGCTTTTTATGCTTTAGTCAGGTGATATGGCGAAGAATCTTGTCTGTTAATTCGATATTCGGACCGGTGACTCTTTCTTGGTAAATGCCGAAGAGGTTATCATCGGAACCACGGTCCCTCAGACCATACTTGACGTTCATGTCGCCAGGTCGTTGTCGTCCGTGTCTCTGCTGTCTCTTTTGTTTGACATCGCTATTTGCCCAACAGCTGTGCCAACGGCTGATGTGATTATCTTCTTGTGCGTTGGCCTGCTATCGCCGCCATCGTCGCCGATCCCGTTATTGTGTGTTCTTGTCTTTTCATCTGGCATGCCATCGCTCTCCTCCTCTGCTGCCCTCCTGGTCTGTGTGTCGAAGAAGTAAGCAGCGTTCCACTCTTACGCTCTCTCTCTCTCCCCAAACACCGTTCTCAGCAGTCACGTGATTTGCTACCAGCAGTGCCTGTTGTCACGCGTATTTCTCCGGGGGCGTGGCGTGGTCTTGCTGCGTATCTGCGAACTACAGTCGGTAAGTTCGATCCCTCGTTCGATCCTTGCTGCGTCCATCTGTCGCTATGCCGCTAGCCGGATGGTCAGCTCTTGCTCACCGTACGGGACAGTGGCCGCCACGAGCGAGATATTTGCGTGATCTGCTGCGCGAGGCGATGACGATGACAGGGGTCGGGTCGCTCGACCGACCAACCGACCGACCGACCGACGGAGTGGCGCCGTTGGCCGCCTGTGCAGGGCAGGTCGCCGCTGCGGCGAATGAGCGAGTGTCCGGTCCGTCGGCCGGTTGTCCGATCTCTGTTGACCACTGGTCTCTTGTTTGCACAACGCTAGCATGGTTTTGATGAACGATTAGTTCAGCGCCGTGGCACTGAACAAAGACGGTCGTGAGATCGTCGCTGCTCGCTGCTCGCTGCTCGGCGGTGGTCCGATCAGCCAGACGCGATGATGGCAAGGCAACTTTTGGTCAGTCGGTCGGCCCGTTTATCGATAGTAGCCAGCGGTCATTGTGGTGCTGCTGAACGACGCACGGGAAGCCACGGTGTTCATGTCTGCTGCCATGATTGTGCACGGCTGGCCCTGGAGACACTCGCTCGCCTCGCAGCAGCGCCAAACGGTCGCCGCAATCCGGCCGACCCGACCTCGGCCCTCAGCGCTGCTGCTGCTGCTGCTGACCATCGGTCAGCCGGCGGCCGGACGAACGTATGTTTACGCCTAGGAGGACCGGACCGCCGGCCGGACGGACGGACGGACGGACGGCCAAACCGCGCCTCGCCTCGCCTCGCCTCGCCGTCGTCTCGCTGTTCGTGCGTCGTGCTTGGCGACAGAATGCCGCCGTCGTTATCGAGGCTATTGTAGTGCGAACGAAGTTACTGGTGGTTGCTGTACGGAACGAGGAGAGGCAGCAGAACGCCAGAGCTGCAGAACAGACAGCTGCTCGGACGTAGGCAGCGCTCGACACGACGACGATCGACGACGACAGTGCTGTGACGCCGTAGCGAGGAAGCTCGAACCGCCGGACGAGGAGAACCTCTGAAAAAGGAATATTGGAAGATATGACAACATCAGATCACCGTTTAGTGACAACTCCGCATACGCCTCGCCTCACCTCGCCTCTGTTACCCTCAATTACCTCCATTGCCTTGTCTCTTGTTGATGGTAAGGTGCATCAGCAAAAGAATGAAGAAGGCCGCCGAGCCAACAACACCTCCTTCCGTCTGAGTGATATCGTATCTCTGACTCGTTTTCGAGACACTCGCCAAGCGTACGTGTTTTGTTCCTTAGAACGTAGGCTGCCACCAGCCAGTCTCTCGTTGCAGGATGACTGTAACATCGGTGACGATCCTCCAGTACCCGAGCGAGTTGTTACTGTTGATACTTCCTTCAAGCATCCTCGTAGCCATTATGTAACCACCACCCGAATTCTGATTTCCATTTCCTGTGCAGTCTGTTGTTGATCGACCATCCGTCTGTTCCAGCGGCTTTTCTTTTGCCCATCGGAATCACATCGTTTACCATCCCGTGGGAACCACCATTTTTTTCATTGTATTATTTAATTTTCAGCCACGGCTTCTCGCAGTAACGCATTTCTAATAGCCTTTACATGTTCCCTCTCCTCCTCCTCTTCCATTTTTTCTGGCTATCCCACCATTATACCGTTACTGCACTTACGCTTCAAAGAAAATATCTAGCACTCATCTTTCCTGTAGCCTGCTGCTACGAAGATATCGCTTTTCGTTGTTTTAATTATGCTTAATGATGAAAAACCAGCACATCCTCAGTCTGGTGATCTTTGCCATGCCGTATGTTTTCTACTTCGCACTTTCGGTTCTCTTTTGAACAAATTCTACTCTTGCCCCAAATCGGCTGCAGCGACGACCTATATTCGTCGTCGTTTCTTCGCCACCACCACTGCAATAGAGAAAACGCGGAGGTGAACGCTGCTGTCGTCGTCGTCATCGTCGATCAACTCACCGTCGCTCGGCCTTTGTCAGCTTTCTTTCGTTTCGCCATGTTCTCTCCGGACTTTCAGACGTGTCAGAGTGTTTCCTGTGGCTTTCGCACGATGCCAATGGAGATGAGCCCTCGCCGACCGACTTCTGCCATATATTGTTCTAATCTGAGTTTGTGCAGGTTTTTGCGTGTGTTCTGTTTACCTGATATTCTGTTTGATCATATGTGTTGACTCCGCAGCCAACCACTGACCTCTTCTGTGGTTTTTGCTTCGTTTGCTCTTGCTATCGGCAAGAAATATTTGCCCTTACACCTGATTTGCTCCTCTCCTTATTCCACCAGCCGCGTACCTCCACTGTTGCCTTGCTTCCGTTGCATCTGTACCTCCGCTTGCTGCCACCAGTCTTGTTTTTCTTCTTCTGAGGTATGTGCGATGGGGTTGATGATCTTCGGCGTTCTTTCCTTCTACCTCCAACCACCTCGTCATTCCCATCGCCAGGTCGATCGTCTCACCATTGTTACTCGGCTGTTCCCTGCGGCGTTGCAGATCATCCTTGACCTCGTCTTTGTCTGGCATGCTGCTGTCGTCCTCCTTCGGTCTTTGTTTTGTCGTCAGGTCTTCGCCTGACGCGAAGGTAAATTATTGCCCTCGCTTCCTTGGTCGTCGACGTTTTTCACTCCGTCTCGCTCCTTCCTCAATGTCATTGCTGCTGTTGCTGCTGCTCTTCAGCCCTTCCACGACGTATCACAGTCACAGTTCCAGTTTGTCTGGTTTGCGACGACGACCGACCGACCTCGATTCTTTGTTTTTCTGCCGTTTAGCGCTTACGTCGTCGTCCGTTCGTGAGTTTTGGGAATCGATCCCGCGGTGCTTGTTTTCCTATATATGGTCGCAGCCGGT